ACCTTTAAATTTTAACCATGCAAATGCTATGAATAGGAGTACCAGAACAGTTGCTAAAACTGGTAGCGCAATCCTCCCTGCATTGCTCTCTGCCCTTTTACCTGTGCAATACATACATAGCGTAAACATGGCAAACAATAGAGTACTCAAATAACAAATTAGTAAAGGGAGAGATTTTCATTTGAAACTTAGTACAAGGAGAGAATGCGGTACCAGCTGTCACATCTAGGCCAGCAAGTCGGAGATAGAGCGTGTTTCTACCAAACACCGCGCCAAGCTTTTCGGTGTCAACCAACTCCCCGCCCCAAACCAAGCACCTTGTCACGTTTCCTCCAGACCTGCTACTGCTCAGGTTAGCGTGTGCATATGCCACACAGGAGCAGTTGCGGCTGCACTCTATTGCGCACTCCTTGAATGTACTCTTGCCCCCACCGACGAGTGTGAACTTGTCGGGTGGCTTCATCCCCGGCAAGGCCAAGAAACCTTCACCACACCCACCCAGCGGTTCCTTCCGCCGGCATCCCATGGAGAACCTACCACCGGCCCACTCCTCTATGCTAGCCGGCTCGAAACCATCTAGGCACTTGCATGTTGGGATTGCTGTCGTCAGATCACAGTAGCCGTACGGACCACAATAGCCGTATAGGCTGCATTCAGCGGAGGGCAACTTCACGAGGACTTCCCACGCCAACAACTTGTTGTTCCAGCTTTGGATTTGGAACTCGCCGGAGTAGGTCAGCACAAACCTAGTGTGCGGGGTTCCATCGGAGAGGCTATATGTGATGTAGATCTCCTCGTTGTTGTCAAGGATGGCATGGTACATGATGACCCCTGTGCTGGCATTCGCCTGTTGGTATCGGCCCTCGCTCATCACAAGGTCCCCTGTCCATGGGGCACTGCGCAACACCGGGTGCTTCCCGTCCCACACGAATACCTGGAGGAACGTGGTGGGATCGAATCCAAAAGAAAAACGGCCTGGCGAGGGGTCGCCGGGGCCTTTCCAGGATACGAGGCGGTCACCGCCATCGTGGGTGTTGTACTTGCCCCGAAGCTTCATGCCTGGGAGGTATGTGTCGGTGTGGTGGTCGAAGCTCTGCCACAGCGTGGTGCCGTTTGACGACCGGATAACAAGGTTGCCGGTGTTCAAAAGCACCGCCACGGGGGTAGATGAGCCCGGGGCAGCGGATAGGTTGGTCGTCGTCCAGAGGACACGGCCGCTGCCATCGCCGTTAGAAAGAACGAGATTGGAGGTGTTGGTGAGTGAGAGCACTGGTGAAGAGAAAGAGTTGTTGATGATCGGGGTTTCTCGGTTGGCGACCCACACCACGGTGAGCTCTGGAATGTCGTTGTACCATATGCCAAGGTACAACTTGGCCGGAGTACTGGTGGAGTTGGTAGGGGAGAAGAAGCCCAATGCGAAAGCACCACCATCGGAAACGATGGTGTTGCCAGGGGAGAGTGGCTTGCCGGGGACAAGCCGGTCGTCGGACGCACCGAACGGCAGGAATAGGAGGATCAACACCGCGGCGCGGCAGGTGAGAGGCAGCCAATCCATGGATCAACCAGGCCACAAAATCTAAGTACAAAACTAGTCTGCAAAGTGGGAGTAACTGAGTAAGTGTATATATACTTGCACCCAATGAGCCTTGGTCTACAATCCAAAAAAAGAAAAGTGTTGACGAAGATGAAGCACAGGCAGCATCCAGGCATTTTCGTCCGTGGAAGAAGAAGATGACTGAATAATGCAAGATCTTGGAATGCTAGCAGGTTGGTTTGGGAGCTGAGAGTGTATTGGAGCTTTGGAGTTTACATTTCGGCTGTCCACGTCGGAGTTGGGATGCCACCGTCACTGCTGACTAGACAGACTAGTGACTGCTCAAACATTAAGCATTTGTGCTGATAAAATTTACCAGCTCCAGCGTGGTTGGATTCCTGTAGTAATTCTAGTTGTTGCATGGTCAGACCTAACGCAAATGTACGACCAACGAACAAGCTAGGTATTTCTTACCGTGTTCGCGTGCAGACTGAATGTTTTTCTCTTCCTCACCACGTCACAACTTACAAAGTTAGCAACATAGCTAGAGAGGGGGTACTTTTCATCCGGTAAGTTGAACGAATATGCTGCGATTCGGCAATTAGAATTATTTTATTCTTGGATTGCTCTGTTCCTTGTCTAGAACCTTACTTAGTCTCTTGACATCAACTTCTTCACTACCTACCATTCTCCGGATAAATTCTAGATCCATGAACCACTCAACTCCGTTGATATTAGACTTTTTTTCTTTGCAGGGACCGTCGATATTAGAATGAACAATAGAAAGTTACTGAAGTTGCCTTGTAAACCTAGAGATGCGCCAACACAGGGGATGCTTGCTCAATTGTGGGAGGCCTGCACACGTTACAATGACGGTGAAAGGGTGACGGGAGCGCATGACCGTTCAAAGGAGAGGACTTGGTTTTTCTGGTTCGGCAGGAGAAAATGAACTAAAACCATGACACTTATTTTGGATCGAAAGGAGTACTGCTAACTAATGCAGATTCAACTTTTGGATCTGAATTCAAATTCGCAATGATATATAGTTTTTAGATGGAGTTTATTTAATTTAACTGCAGTAACAGAGATGCTGTATGTACAGTTGACACTATAAATTGTAAAGATATTGCTGGGTGAAGTGGTTTTCTCTAGCAAAGGATGGAATTAGTGGTTGATTCGTTACAACCTTTTCTTCCATACTTTTGTAGTTTTTTCTTTTCTTTTTATTGCACTTTGGCATCTATTCGTACTGAACGATGGGGGCTGCGTTTGTGATTTTGAACAAAGGCCGGAATCAATGAACTTCAGTCTTTGAAAAATAATATAGCTTTGAAAATTCAAAAAATAATATAGCTTTGGACAGTCTATGGGTCTCCAACTTTAAGGTGCAGTTTGATTTCCCATTGCAACTTTAGAATTCTAACATTTACAGGAGGCTCGGGGTTTGATATCATTGAGCCTGTGATGACCTGAGTTTGATATCATTTTTTAAATGATTATGTGCACCAAGCGATGAGCCCGGGGTTGATCCTCATTTTCTTAAAAAAAAAAATCTTCTTCTAAAAATTACGGAATAGAGGCAAAGTGGCGTGGGCTTAAATGATACTCTTTCATGTGCATATGATTAATTGCAAAATGACAAATTCATACTTGCAACTGTTCCTCTCAAATCTAGTTCTCATTCCAGCACAAACTTCCATGTTAGCATAGGTTGGACATTTTTTTCTTCAAAAAGGAGGTTGAAACCCCTCGGCCTCTGTATCATTGCGACACACACATCCATTTTTTTAATTAAAGTTGATGTAAGGCAACAAGACCAAAGCCATCAATAAGAGGAGTACAAAACATAGGTAACCATGACAAAACCATTAAAAAATATGAATAAAACATCTTTGACTAAGTCGACTTCTTCCGCAACAACGCCTACACAAAGGGATAAACGCCCTTGCCATGTCGTCGCCACGTCCGACCGAAGATTGATAGGACGAGGATTCTCATCCTAGACGCCGCAGCCAACCACTGAAGGTAACCATATCAGCGAGGCAAGACCTTGAACAAGGTAACTAGACAAACTCGTCATTGTTGAGCCCGACTAATAAAGACCAGCAATTGGGCTGAGCCACAGCACTGGTCGCTATTCTAGGCCTGAACCTACCCTTCCCCAACTCCTAGCTCACCATTTCTTCACGAAAATAGTTGCCATTTCTGAAAGCTCCCACCCACACGATCAGCCATGTGCCCCCAACCATTGCCACCGGCGGCGAGACCCCCGCCACCGATAAAAATTGCTGAAACAAGAAAAGAAAAGAAGCACGTTTGTTATTTATGCGAATATGTATCTAATGAAGAGACGAGAAGGGCCAGTGAGAATCAATCAAAGTGTGTGGATTCTTTTTTGTTGCCATAAACAAATATCTTATGAATAAAACTGATTAGCTTGGTGGAAAAAGAAATTTGTGCTGAACATCTTATGCCACATATAAAAATAAGAAAAAACAAATATCTTGGAGATAAACAATAACGACAATTTTTTGAGGATCAAATAAAATAGATATGTGTAGCAAAAGAATTACTCCCTAGAAAAATATGAAAAGAAAGGGTCAACAACAAAAAGATAGAAGTTGTGGGATTTCAGCAATTGGGCCAGCCCACAGTACTAGTCGCTCATCCGGGCCTGAACTATAGCTGGCCAAACGGGCCGGGATAGTTGGGCCGGCCCGGTAGCACGGCCGGCACGACACGGGCCTGGCACGGCACGGCACGTGCTAAACGGGCCGGGCCCGGCACACGGCACGCCATGGGCCGTGCCTGGGCCTGAAGGGCGAGCACGCGGGCCGGCACGGCACGGCCCGATTAACTTTTTTATATTTTTTATGTATTCTAATATGGGCCAACAGGTAAAAATAGGCTAAAAAACGCTCAATGCGCAAAATAGGAGGTAGATTAGTGGGCCTGGCGTGCCGGTGGGCCGGCCCGATTAGCATACGGGCCATGCCTGGGCTGCAGGCTGCAGCACGCGGGCTGGCACGGCACGGCCCGTATAATAATCGTGCCTAGACGGGCCAGGCCGTGCCAGGCACGATTAGGATGGGCCGTTCCGTGCCGGGCCGGGCCGGCCCGTTTGGCCAGCTATAGCCTGAACCCCTAGCTCGTCTTTTGTTCATTCACGAAAGAAAAAGTCGTCATTTCCACCCACTCGAATCAGCCATGTCCTCCCACTCCCAGCCATCGCCGCCGCCGGCGAGACCCCCGCCGCCCGCTCAAACCACCATCAGCGCTCTCGGCGACGACATGCTCCGCGAGATCTTCGCCCGCCTCCCCGACCTCCCGAACCTCGCCCGCGCGGCCTTCGCCTGCCGCGCCTTCCTCGGCGCCGTCCGCTCGTCCCCCGCCTTCCGCCGCCGCTTCCGCTCGCTCCGCCCGCCGCCTCTCCTCGCGTTCTTCGTCGAGCCCGACATGGGCACGGTCCCGGTATACCCCTCCCCCTGGCGTCGCTCCGACCCGGGCCTCGCCGATGCCTTCCGCGACGCCGATTTCCTCCAGACCCGCCGCATGGACGGCCTTGCCTCCGGCGAACCCGGATGGGAGTTCGACTACAGCTTGCGCTGCGAGATCCGCATCGCCCACCGGGAGCAGCGAGCCAGCTACAGCCCTCTGACGCAGGCGCTGTCCCTCTTCCCCGACAGGCAGATCGTGACGGACGACAGCTACCTTGAGTTCCACACGCTCTCCCACCAGGAGGACCAGGGGCTGCAGCGTGTGGTCTACATCCGTCACGACCGCCCATGGACGGGGGCGCGCGTCGCTGTCTTCTCATCGCGCACCATGGAGTGGCAAATTTCCCCTTGGGTGGAAACAGGGACCCTGATTCCCAAAGACGCCACCTACCTTAAGTCGGGTAAGGTGGTTGATGGATTCGTCTATTGGACATTTCCGAACGGGGACGGTATGCTCGTGCTAATGCCGCGACATCTCAGTTCCATCGAATGGATGTGCCGCACCCCTTGAAAGAAGCTTTGATGTTCAACCCTACATTTTTTGAGCTTGGTCAGACCAAGGATGGGAAGCTCTGTATTGTGCATAAGGGCATACATAACAAGGAATGCAAGCTTTTTGTTTGGTCGTGGGGAAAAGATGGTGATGGTGTGGAGAGATGGAAGCTGGACAGGTCGTTTCCATTGCGCATGATTATTGAGTTCATCAAGTGCTCAAAGCTAAATCATGCCCAAGTAACAATTGTGGCTGTCATTGATGGCTTTGTGTATCTCTCAGTTGACTGTCATGAGTATGCTGAATTTCAGAACTGTAGTAATTCTCCAGAGTGGTTCTTATCATTATGCCTGGAAACAGCAGAGCTGCATCAGCTCTTTGAGGGCCCGTATCGGAGTCGTAGTTGTGTACGTCCCTATGTAATGCCGTGGCCTCCTTGTTTGGTACGTAACAAGGTGCTTATGCTTGAATCTCGTAAATTTCTTCCTACCTTTGTATGATGTTATGTTACCTTAGAGCACTGGATTGTTGTAGTCTTGTTAAATCTATTGTCAACACTTAGTCTCAGATACATGACATGTCTGATTTGGTATCACCATTTGAGTATATTCACATTTTTACCACAAGGTGCTGTGCAGATTAAGCACAGGGTTATAAAGCTCTGTACTGCTGATATTTGTGTTTGGAAATTTTGTGCACCAAATGACTCAACGATAACCTGTAACCACCATTAGATGGCCATTGTGAAGCATTTTACTTCCCTTGCTTGTGTATATAAGATAAACGATTGATCTGTATCATTAGAATCTATAGCCTAGAATAAACATTTGAATTGTCATGCACACTCATATCTTTTTCATTTTGACAGGATGGTTCAGAAGCTGTGGGCAAAGGAGAACCTACTTCTATCCTTATCACAGCATTGCAATCTTTCAAAGAAGCTTTGATTACTGATGATGAAGCAAATATTACTGAGACAAAGGCCTTTTTCTCTATTGGGGTTAAGAACAGGTCTCTTGTCAGCAAAATTG